ATTCATATAAGAAATATCCTGTTAGTTTTAAGCGCTGGAAAAGAATAAGATTAATTATTAAATGTCATAAAAATATATTAAACAAGTAATTTACTTGACTAGGCTTTACAAGACTATAATAATAGATTGTTGACTGATTGTTGACTAGACTATTAGTAGTAGATAAAAATAAAAAATAATAGAAAATTCATATTATATTTCTAAAGTTTATTGTTTTTAATCAGTAAATTGAATTATTATAATATTTTTCCACAACAATATATCAATCTTAAATTTTCAATATAGCTAGCCTAGCTAGCCCCAGACAGATTTGAAATTTCATTTGCCCAGAAAGTGTGGACACACATTTGTTTGCCTGTGGGCTCACTAATAATAATTAGAAGAAGAATACAATTAATAAATTACTTACTGTCCTAGATTGGTCCATCCAACCTACAGCATTCATGAATTTTTTGACATAGCTATCTTCCACTGTTACGGTATTCAAATTTCTTGTATTTGGTTTGTTAACACACAAGATGCTAGCGCATGGTCTTGCATAATGTGTTCTAATTTGAGCTTGCTGGTGCCATAAAGCCTGTAATTAAGTTCTTGTTACATGTATTGCATTCTTATTTCTTATTGCTAATAAAACAGTCAGTGCAAAATTATAAATAGACAGGTTATCATTTAAAATTAAGAAATTTTCTAAGTATGTTTATGTAGAAGTTTTAATGCCCTACATTCATAAACACCAGAACAACTTACACGAGATATGGTACGGGTTCGAAACATAACCGGTTTCCTTATAAATTACAGATTAACACCAAATACACTTTTTACTGGGATATTATTTCATTTTCTATTTTTTACTATGTAAGATGAACTAAATGCCTTTAGAGATGCCAAGAATGACAGTTGACAGCATCTGTTTGACAGAGAAGCAGACAAAACTTTATCATGTCATAGGTAGTCTACTATTAAATACTCCGTAGACACTCAAGACAATAAGACAGTATAATATACTCTTTCAAAGACCGAATAGGTACTTTAAAATGCGAATAAATAATAAAATATCTTGCGTAACATCCTTAAATATCCAATGAGAATATAGCAGTTCTAAATCCAATAAAAGACTAATTTCAAACTAATGGGAAGGGACAATCGAATAAAATCTAATTTGATTTTAGTTAGCATTTTTTCGAACTGTTAAATACACCATACATTGTTACTATTGCATAGTGAAAATACAATTTGTAACTATTCGTATAATTATTTGTATTTAACAAATTAATTAAAAAAAAACATGTACTCTTATGTACTATGTCTCATAGAGTATAGAAATGAATGACAACACTAGCGTTCAATAAGTTCACGTTTTGAGATTTCGTGTCTATAGTATTTTAAGGTTACATAATTTACGGGTGGGCGCCGATTCTTCGCCCAAGTGCATTAAATAATCGAAAATGTTGGGGGCTGTAAGTCGGGTTGGTAGCGGCCTTTTAGCCGTAAAGTCGGCAGCTGAAAAAACCTTAACAGAATGCGGTAAAATTGCAACCGTATCTGCCATCAACAAAAGGGATTATGCAGCAAAAGCCGCTGCAGGCAAAGGCCAAGGTAAGGTAGTGGCTGTCATTGGTGCCGTTGTGGACGTCCAGTTCGAAGACAACCTACCACCCATTCTAAATGCCCTTGAAGTACAAAACCGTCAACCCCGGCTTGTGCTGGAGGTGGCGCAGCACTTGGGAGAGAACACCGTCCGTACCATCGCCATGGACGGTACCGAGGGTCTGGTTCGTGGCCAGCCCGTTCACGACTGCGGCTCGCCCATTCGTATCCCCGTGGGCGCTGAGACCCTCGGCCGCATCATCAACGTAATCGGAGAGCCCATTGACGAGCGCGGCCCCATCCCCACTGACAAGACTGCAGCTATCCACGCTGAGGCGCCCGAGTTCGTGGACATGTCCGTGCAGCAAGAGATTCTCGTCACTGGCATCAAGGTCGTCGACTTGCTTGCCCCCTACGCCAAGGGAGGTAAGATCGGTCTGTTCGGTGGTGCCGGAGTCGGTAAGACCGTACTTATCATGGAGCTGATCAACAACGTCGCCAAGGCGCACGGTGGTTACTCCGTGTTCGCTGGAGTCGGGGAGCGCACCCGTGAGGGCAACGACTTGTACCATGAGATGATTGAGTCCGGAGTTATCTCCCTGAAAGACAAGACCTCCAAGGTAGCACTTGTGTACGGTCAGATGAACGAGCCACCCGGCGCGCGTGCCCGTGTCGCTCTGACTGGTCTGACCGTGGCTGAATACTTCCGTGACCAGGAAGGTCAGGATGTGCTGCTGTTCATTGACAACATTTTCCGTTTCACCCAGGCTGGTTCTGAGGTGTCTGCCTTGCTGGGTCGTATCCCCTCTGCTGTAGGTTACCAACCAACCCTGGCCACTGACATGGGTACCATGCAGGAGCGTATTACCACCACCAAGAAGGGATCCATCACCTCTGTGCAGGCTATCTACGTGCCCGCTGACGACTTGACTGACCCTGCCCCTGCCACCACCTTTGCTCACTTGGACGCCACCACTGTACTGTCCCGTGCTATTGCTGAGCTGGGTATCTACCCTGCTGTGGACCCCCTCGACTCTACTTCCCGTATCATGGACCCCAACATTATTGGTGCTGAGCACTACAATGTGGCTCGTGGTGTTCAGAAGATCCTTCAGGACTACAAGTCACTCCAGGACATCATCGCTATCCTGGGTATGGATGAGTTGTCTGAAGAAGACAAATTGACTGTTGCTCGTGCCCGTAAGATCCAGAGGTTCTTGTCCCAGCCTTTCCAGGTGGCTGAGGTGTTCACTGGACACGCTGGCAAACTGGTACCCCTTGAGGAAACCATCAAGGGCTTCTCTAAAATCCTGCAGGGCGAGTATGATCACCTTCCTGAAGTAGCTTTCTACATGGTTGGACCTATTGAGGAAGTTATTGCTAAGGCCGAAACCCTAGCTAAGTCATAAATGATTGCAACTTGTTGTTAACAGAGTACCCTGCAAGAATCCTTAATCAAATGTTGACACGAATGCGTGTGCGGGAGTAATGTTATTTCTAAATAAACTTAGTGTAAACTAAAAAGTGTTTTTATTCATTACCTTCATCTCTCATTGTCATACTTGTTTGAAACAATACTTCTGCCAAATGACTTGTTCAGAAATGAGTGTAGTCCTACACTCAGTTATTTTAGTTAAAATATAAGGCTTGCCCAAATATCCTGAATCTCCAGTGCATAACTAAGAACCTAGTCTTATTGTACCTAATCACGTAATAGATTCTGAGGTAGATTTTTGCTGAAATTATAAAAACTTACTAAACAGGCATGTCGTGTTCTAAGTAAAATATTGACCATTACTAGCTTAAAAATGTACTTCGTAAGAAAGTCAGGTTAGTAGATATAGAGTTGTTTAGTTAAGAATCTGATTAGAACAGAATGCTATTTTTTGAGTTATTGCCTAACAAGTTTATGAGGTTTGAGGTTATGCCATCAGCTGATTACAATAACAATGAAAATAACTTTCAAAGGGTTGTTTTGCTTTTTAACCCAATAAGTGTGTTTATTACAGTGAAGGGGTGATTTTAAAATAGGTCATAATGTTAGGTACCTAAAAAAATAAAAGTGTATGTGCAGATTATGCAATGAATTTACATAATGTGTGATGTAGTTATCATGTACTAGCCTAATTATGGTGCTTGACAAGGAAAACGTTCAACTAGATAAAATATTAGCATTACCTAACCGAATTAATTAAGTACAAAGTGGGTACATTTTTCTAACCTGACCTGAGGGTATAGTATAGTATACCTTTAAGGGTTAACAGTTATAGACTGGGTAAACTAGTACCTAGACTAATACAATCTTTCCAGTGTTGAGATTGATATTATTATTAGTAATAAATAATTAAATAAGTAGACATCGAATTAGGGGCTTTTCTGATGTAACGTAATGTTATAATATAAGGCTGTAAGTAGGTAGTGTTAAAACTCTTGGGGCTGAGATCAGGCTCAGACCCAGAGAGACTGCTTGCCATCACTGAACAACAAATAATTTGGCTTGGTTTTGACCTACTGTTTATTATATTTTTAAATGTTTTCTCTTTTCTAATTTTTAACCAAGTAAATACATGTATAGAGATGAATTAACCAATTTCGCTAAATCCTTGTAAGTTATGTACTTAGGTATATTGATATTGTAGAGGTCACAATAAAAAATAGGTACTTGCGAGAGGGTTTTTATACTCCTAAAAATAAAGATGTTCTACGGGTACCTGAGATTTCTCATTAGGTTTAGATACTTTGGGTGATAGGGACTTGAGATATAAGGAGGTAGGTATGACAAATAAATGTACCCGTTCCAGAGGAGTGACTCAATAGGCGCCACAGCGCCCTCAGCTTCCGGCTGACGCAGGTGCTTACCGGGAAACACCCGTGTCGCATAGGTCGGAGCCGACGTCTCAATGCCACCATTGTGGTGATTGCCGCGAAGATACGGCGCTGCATACGTTGGCGGAGTGCCCAGCTTGGCCCGAGTAGCGCCGTGACCTGGTCGCGGCCGGAGGTTCAGCGGGAAATCTTTCGCTTCCGGCTGTAGTGTCGACTTGCGGACGACAGACTCGGGGCGTCCTGTCGTCCGCCCGTCGGGGGGTTGCGACGAATGCTTCGGCGATACCTACCCCTCCGACACATGGGTAATTGGAGAAACACCTGGTTGGTTTTTAGTCAGCAAGTCTCACAGTACCCTTCGCCCTTCCCCGAGGGCGATGGGTCTCCATGAGGATTTTCCAAACCGATACAAAAAAAAAGGAAGTGTCAGACTCTTACTGACTAAAAACCCCTCCCGTTTCTTCTCCTGCTCTAGGCCGAGGTCGCGTTACCCATTGCAAATTCATTGGAAAGCGAAGTATCTTGTATGAACTTATATTTGTTCATCCCATGAAATTAAACAATTTGTTTCTTAATATCTATTTAATTTGTTATTTCTACCTAAAGGCATAGGTTCTAATTGATTTAAACTAAAAGTGCTTTAAAGCATTAACTTAAATAAATGTTTCCGTCATTTCTTACAAAGTCTATAATACAGTTGTGTCAATAATTTCTGTAGGAGTTTCTTTATTTATTACAGATTCAATACCATCTTCTTCGATAATATCATCATCATCGTCATCGAGCAGTCTATCTTCAGATTTCTTATCCATATTGTCATTATCTAATAATGAAACACATTCTTCAATATCGGTGGGAACGGTTTTGTCTACTTCAGTGTCAGATACAGTTAAAGTAGACATATCATTACTTTTATCTTCAGGTTTTATTGATTTAGTATTTTCAGTAGGTGTTATTATTGCTGTTGCTGAGGTTTCTGCTGGTGTTTCGGAAGACGCTGGGGATGCTGTTTCATTATTTTTGTTGGGTACTTCACTAATCGGTCTAGCTATTGCGCAATCCACTTTAGGTACTTTAACGACGACTACCTGATCTTGGTCGTCACTCGAATTCCTTTTGTTTGGGTCTTTCAGTTTTATAGTTTGAAACTTAAGTGGAGTGTTCAACGCTTGTGTCCCATCCTTGCTTCTGTTGATTGGCTTGATGACTAGTATCTTCGTTTTCAATCCGGATTTTGTGAAATCCGTAATGCTTTTGTTAATAATAGGATTTTTCATAACTTCTATACTCTGTCGTCGAAATTTAAAAGGAACAACTGACGGAAGACTTTTCGATTTAATTATTTCAGGAAGTTTAGGTTTTATGCTATTTTGTTCTTTAGTAGAAACTGTACTTTCGACTACTTCTGGCACTGTATTAACTTCATCATCTTTAGCTTTGGAAACTTCCTCAACAGGAACATTTTTAATTGGGGAAGCTTTTTCAGGCACTTCTTTTACAGGACTAGGAGATTCTTTCGTATCTTCGTTATTTTCCTTCTTGGGAGATATTTTATCTCCTCTCGAAATAATCTTGGGTAACATTGGTCTGACAAATACATTTGGAAGTCTAGTATCTTTTTGGGGGCAAAGAGTAGAGAAATCTGTTTTTATATGTGCTGCTGATCTTTCAACAGACTTCTTTGACAAAGTGACTAGTGCTCCACAGCATTCTTTGTTGAGATTATCATAGTTACTTTGTATTTCTTGTTGAGCTTTTTTCTTAGTTTGGCCTGATTTGGCCGTCGCCATTGTTATAGAATCTCTATAGCCTTGTGCTTCCATTTTCAATAAATTTGATAAATCATATTCAAAGTCTGCATTCTTAGGTTTCGTTTTTCTTCTAACTGGTCTTCTAGATGCGACAGATGACGTGTTGTCGTTAGATACATGCTTTTTAGCATCAATATCATCTAAGTCTGAAGAGTTTTCTTCAAAGTTTTTGATATTTGTAGATGAATAGTTGTCTAGGCTGATACTTTTGTCCATTGAGGAATCTCCATCTTTATCTTGAACTGCTGTAAGTAAAAGAATAAAACATTGAGAATGGTTGCAAATTTTAGGATATAAAAAGGTTTTGGTAGTAGTTTCCGGGTCTGTGTGTGTTAAGATTTTATAGATATTTTACACTGGCTTAACCCCTTCTAAGAGTAAATCTAGTAAAATATTTTTACAAAACAAAGTGTAAAGACCCGCGCATGTCGTTAATTGGCATAGTACTTACGTTTAGCAATAAATTCCTTTCTCTTTTTCGCATTGGTTTTGCTGTGGAATACTTTTCTCTTTCTACTTAAGCCTTCTACTCGAGTGCTACTTGAGGAACTGTCATCAGATAATCTACTGGAATCACTAGAGCACCGGCTCGGACGTCTAGATTCTGGACTCGTTTCAGTAGCATCAGGCAGCTCGTCTGTCGACTCGCATAGTTCCAAAGCTTCTGGACCATCAATGGCTTTCACAGTACTATAGTAAAAGTCCTTATCACCTTTTAGTTTATGAACAACTTTAACATGTTCAGGTAACTTCTCGAAGAAGTAATGCTTGAAGTTACACAACTTGCAAGCATACCGCATCCATTTGACATGTTCCGCCACATGATCGTACAGTTCTTGTGTCTCACCAAATTGGGCGTCACATCTCTTACACAACATTTTGGTTATTTCTATTTCTGATTGGATTCTCTGTCTGAATGCTGTACGGTTGCTTTTTTCTGCTTGATGAGCGAAAGGTAATCTAATATTAAGTTTTGGCGGATCTATTTGTCGTTTCTCAGGCACTTTTTCCGGGGATTCTGTTGCGTCGTTGGATTTGCTGTCGTCGTCACTTACGTCCATTGCCGCGTCATCCACTACGACCTTGTCGTCATCTAGCACGACCTTGTCATCCACCACAACCTTGTCGTCATCCACAACCTTGTCTTCATCAACATCTTTGTCTTCAATTACAATTTGTTTTTCTTCCTCTTTTTTTGGTTTAGGTACTGCTTGCTGCTCATCCTTAGTAATTTTGTTTTCTGCAAAAATAAATTAATACATTATCATTCCTGAATTAAATTCTGTACCTAACTAATTTTATCTGATGATCGAATAAAAGGTATACAGGTCTGTTCTATTTTTATGAACCCACTATTAAAATATGTACCGTTAGCATCAGTAATTTTGATGGGTAAGTTCAAATTAACGGAGGGTCCCTTGTGGTAATCTTTGCGAATTTGGATTTCGATCTTCTTAGTTTCAGGCTGGCGCCGCGAGAGGGCGCGGGAGCGCGGCTGGCAGGTGTGCGTGTGCGCGGCGAGGGCGGCGCGCCGCTCGAACGTGCGGCCGCAGCCCCCGCATCGTGGCAGCTCCCCGTCTCCCTCCATGTTGTCCATCCAAGCCTGGAATGTCCCATACACATTTAAAACGTCTCTGCTAAGTACATAAGTATCTTTTCAACCGCATTCCGGCCTCGGCCCAGAGCAAGGGAGAAGGAACGGGGGTTCTTAGTCAGTAAGAGTCTGACACTGCCCTCCCGCCCCACCCTGGGCGGGAGAAGTCATTTGATGATTTCCAGTGACAAAAAAAGGTACATAAGTATCTGAAGATCAATTGCTATCATTTGATCATGAAACTATTTAGGTTTAGCCACATATATGATAACTACCATCACACAGGTCAAGTATACACTTCATGCAATTAATGTCAATAATTTGGTTACTATTAAGCAAATGTAGCAGATTGCAAAAGTGGGTATGGGTGTTAGAATGTAGACATGATCCTAGCTAAGAATAATAATAATTATTATATTTGTAAACGACTTTGTTTTTTACCTGATTCTCTTGTTCTAATCTTTCCTCTTCTGAAATTTTCTGAGCAGTAATCTTCATATTGTTCTTACGTTTTTCATAGAACGCGGGCGGATTGTTCATTTTGAAAGCCTTCGCTTGTATCGATTCCCTAAGCCTTCGGATTTGTGCAGCAGTTTTTCTGAAAGAATATACAAATATTAAAAACTAAATATACAGATATTACAACACCAGGTACCCTTTGAAAGTTAAGTTGGTGCCCCGAATTCCGAGTAGAAAAATAAACTACATTAGGCACATTTATAGACCACTGGCACCACTTCCTAAATTATCCGTGGGTAGGTAGCACAATATTTAAACTTACTTTTTGTTTTTTTTTTTATATAAGATATACTTATAATGAATATTACCTATGAACTTTGAAGAGATGCCTATACACACTCCAAGATGTGGAGAAAATTTCCAGACAATCTGGGCATGGATAAACAAGGCGAGTTTCAACATGTTTGTAATTCATATGGAACTTCAAAGTCTTTTGGGTTGAGAACTGTATATCACCTGCAAAAGAAAATAAATATTCATTAAAATTGGATATATAAATTGATAGGTTGAAGGCATGCATTATTGACTGCAAGGAACAAGGGGTTTGTAGTTCAAATATTGTCAAATATATACTGTATAAATAAGGTGGCAAGCTCAGGTAAGATCTTCAGCAATAAATGATTAATAAAATTCATATGTTCTGTTTAAATACCTATATACACTCTTTCCAACATAACAAGCAAAATTTTGGCACAAGAGACCTCTGAAATGCATCACATTACCTATGCATACAGGCACAAGTTTCCCCAAACACAGATAAATATCAGAAATAAATCTATTAGTGAGAACTAAACAGCAAAAATGGTGTGTTTCATTTTATATGTTTACCTTTGTATACCCCATCATACTAGGACAAAATGTAAATGCCATTTCATATAATGAAACGGATGAAAGACAGAGCTACATATATACACATAATACTTACATATTTTACATTTAAGTATATCGGTAACATCGTTATTGTCTTCATCATCACTAATTTGTATGACATTATCAGATTCTTCAGATACTGAACTCTTCACTTTAAAGTTGCCATCACTTTGCAGAACAGCAATGTCCCTTGATAAAATATTGTCCAACTCATTTACCTAAAAAAATATGATTATTATTTTATTCAGTAACTTCAAAATTATTAACTCCATTATCATTCAATTTAATAGGAGTTAAAAGAGAGAAAATAATAGGAAGATGGTCCTATTTTGTATAGACAATTTAGCCTAGCTATAAATTCTACAGTTTAGTCTACAGGCCATTATGCAAGGCTCTTGTGATTTCAAATAGTTATTTGTTTACTTTAAAAGTAGCCATAAATAATGTGGGGTGATATTACTGATCTAATTGATCATTGATCTATTTTATTAAAATTACTGAGGTATTTCTCAACTTCATCACTTTTTTAAAACAAGCAATAATATAAGAAAAAAGGTCTTTTAATATACACTGCTTATGTTACAATTTCTAGTTACATAATAAATACATACTTGCGCTTTCATATTTTCATTTTGTCTATCTTCGGATGTCTGAACACTTTGAAAAACAGCTACAGAACTGTTTGGTATCTTTTGTAATGCTATTTCAGGTTCCTCATTATTGTTTTGGTAAACTCCTTTGTTTTTGGCAATTTTCTCCACTATTGCTGTCAAGTCCTTGGTTAGTGGCACTCTGTCATCTACATCATTACTGTCCTTTTCAACATTTTCCTTCAAAGAAGCTTGATATCCTTGTTCCAAATGTTTTATTTTCAGAAGTTCATTATACTGTAATGAGAAAAGAGATATTGAACCAAAGAGAAAAATACATTAAAATAGAAACAATTTTACTGTATGTAGAAAGTGCTTACCGTTGAAGTAGCATTGATAAAATGACTATGCAACGAAGAACTAAACTTTTCCTTGCAATAAACACGCTTATGTGATATGAAATTTGCTAAGCTCCTAAATATATTTCTGCAAACCTTGCACTCATATAGTAAATCACACTCATTTGATAATAAGTCTTTGAGCTGAAAAAAGAAAATAAATATTGTTACATAACAAAACATAATAATTAAAATGAAAATAATTTAGGTTTATGTTTAATTTGAATGTCAATTTTAATTGATGAACTTACTTCTTCAGTAGCCAAGTCAAAAATTTTTCTTGCTTGGCCAAACCCTGTTATACTTGTAGGTATAGGTTTTCTAAGCAAAGCAAAGTCTGTTTCTTCAGAATCTTCATTAGTTTGACCAATATTCTTAGAATTAGCTTTATTCCTATCTTCCTTAGCTTTTGTTTTGGTATTCACCTTGTTTCCTGCCATGCTGGACCTAAAATGATAAGTATCTTAAACATACATGTATAAATATATCTAATGTTACCAAAAAAATACAATATAATCGAAAGTATTTTAATAAAAAATCGCAACACGATAAATTAGTCAATAATCTTTAAACCTAAAACACCACGCTATTCATATTGGCACCGTTTTGTATAACGCTGACCACCCATGTTGACAATGAAGTAACAGATAAAGATTTACAGATAGTTATATCAATAATAGTCGTGTATATAACTTCTAATATTTTACGATGTCAATAATACCTATTTACGAAACGTTATCATGCCTTTTACGTGACTCGGGCATGGTAATATCATATTCCACAGCTACCAAGACATTCGCCGTCTCTCCCTCAAATATACACAATAACATGCGACTAAATGTCGTAAAAACATAAGCATTTTACATTTTAATCAATACAGATTACGATACCACTGTCTATATAAGTACACTCACGTGGAAATCTTCACAACCGCAAACTTGAAAATCCTAGTCCTGCGACAACTACACCTCCATCACGCCTCCATTTTCAACAAATGAATATCACCTATAGTACGTAACCGAGTGCTCATGGCCATGAGTACAACTATAGTATGTAAAGAAAAATATTAATGTAAAGAGTTTTATTTAAAATATTAAAATCCAATATTAAATTGTCACGGACCAAAACAGTCAATAGTTTTATAATTTCTAATTTATTGTATTCACTGATAACGATATAATATTGCATAGATGATTGATTTAAAAAAAATCCAGGTACTGTATCGCTTCCTCTTCCGATATTTAGAATGAGGGCGCCACTGGATATTTGGAAGTGTGTCAATAAATTCTTATAACCTAATCACGTTGTAAGTGCGTAGATACCAAATTATACATTCTTCATAGCAAAGTAATGCCCATTTCTTTTGTGAATATTACAGGAACTCGTTAAAAATAGTCTGTCAATTTATTTAAATACCCTTTTTAATTCATGGTTTACTTTTTAAAAAGAGGTAGGTACATTGAAGGATGTCATTGTAGTTGACAGATCGATCAAGTATCTGACACTGACAGTTTGTCTTTTTCTTGACTTTTGGTGTTTGTAAAATTGCAATTTGCAATTGTAAGCCGGTGTGTTAAATTTTAAAACAAAAGTGAGTGATATGTAAATGAGTAATAATTTCATTTCGGGTTCTCTTGGTATTTTGAATAGTTTTAATGGAATGTGTTAAACGTCGAGTTCATAAAACTTTATTTGCAGTATTATGGCATCCGGCGAGAATCAGTCATCATCTGATAACCAGCAAAGAAGATGGCATCATATAAGAAAATTATTGGAAAGGTCTGGACCCTTCTGCCATCCAGACTTCGAGCCATCACCAGAGATATTAGATTTTATAATGGACTCATGTAAAGTGCTAATTGTTGGCGCAGGTGGTCTAGGCTGCGAACTATTAAAAGACTTGGCTCTTATGGGATTTAAAAAGCTGCATGTTGTGGATATGGATACTATTGAACTGTCTAACTTGAACCGGCAGTTTCTTTTTAGGAAGAATGATATTGGTTTATCAAAAGCTAAATGTGCTGTTGAGTTTGTTAACAAAAGGTAAGCAAATTAGCAGAAAATAAATTTAAAGCTGTATGAAGTTTGAGTGTTTCTATGACCCATTTTGTAATTTACAGAGTACCGGGTTGTGAAGCTGTTGCTCATCATTGCCCCATCCAAGATTTAGATGAAGGGTTTTATAGACAGTTCCATATTGTTGTCTGTGGTCTTGATTCTATTGTTGCCAGACGCTGGCTGAATGGAATGCTGATGTCACTTTTGCAATACAATGATGATAGTAATTATGATATTTTTATTACTCTATTGTTTCAATATCTGTTTGTTATGTGTGTTACTATAAATATATATAATATGTTACAGGGAGTTTAGATCAAAGCAGTGTCATCCCATTAGTTGATGGTGGAACTGAAGGGTTTAAAGGCAATGCTAGAGTTATCCTGCCAGGCATGAGTGCTTGTATTGAATGCACTCTTGATTTATACCCTCCTCAGAAGACATTCCCATTATGTACTATTGCCAACACTCCAAGGTACTTGAAACATTCAGTTATATGCACCCAAGTTATTTTGCCCCTTTAAGGGAAGGCAGAAACTTAAAAGAGCTCCTTATACAACAATCTTTACTTATTATATCTTTTACAAATACTCCTTATGAATACAAAATTACAAGATTGGTTGAGCAGATAAAATATCAACAAGTAGCAGACATACAATACTAGTAAATATACAAAATATCAAATTAAATAAGTGAGGATTTTAACGTTTCAGATTACCTGAACACTGTATTGAGTATGTAAAAGTGATACAATGGGCTAAAGAGAATCCATGGGGCAACAACACAGCTCTTGATGGTGATGACCCTCAACATGTTGCTTGGGTGTTTGAGAAGGCTCAGGACAGGGCTGTCAAGCATGGAATCTCAAATGTGACTTACAGACTGACACAAGGAGTTTTAAAGAACATTATTCCAGCAGTTGCTAGTACTAATGCTGCTATTGCAGCTTGTTGTGCTACAGAGGTATGTAATGAAAAACAAACTTATTCTACTCAAAAAAAATTAAAGCAATTCATAATTGAATCTACTGAACTCTAATTTTATTGAGGTATGATTGAAATATGTTTAGATAATTCTATGTAATGTGAAAAATGTATGTAAAACAATAAAATATTTTGCAGGTTTTTAAGCTAGCCTCATCATGCTGTGCTAACATGAATAACTACATGGTAATGAACATGGCTGATGGTGTGTACACATACACATTCAATGCAGAAAAGAGGCCAGATTGTGTAGCCTGTAGCAACTCCACCCGCATTGTTGAAATTGAGCCAGATGCAACCTTGCAGATGATCTATGATAAACTATGTGAAGATCCTGTTTTTATGATGAAAAGTCCAGGTTACTTACTTTCTCATATTTATAATGCACACCCCAGTTTTGTTTGGGTACTCCAGGTGTTTCCTGTTATTGTGTCAAATTTTCCCTAAAACTACAAAACCATACAAAAAAGAATTATCCAATTTGATCAGGTAGTTCAAGAGCTAAGTGCTTGTAAATACATTTCAGTGATTAATTTTCTTAAGTACTTATATGTAGATTTTATTTAGTAAATGTGAGAAAATGTTTATAAAATAAAATAATATTTATCTTTCAGGTATAACAACAGTAATCAATGGCCGTAACAAAACATTATACATGTCTTCTATAAAAAGCATTGAAGAAAGAACAAGGGATAATTTGAAGAAGAAAATAACAGATTTGGGCTTATACAATGGTGTGGATATCCTAGTAGCAGATGTTACTACGCCAAACACAATAACAATTAAACTTAAGTTTTTGGAAAATCAAGATGTTGAAATGGCGCGATAAGAGTTTTCTATCTTCTATTTATGTCTTTTGCAAATATTTGAACAAATAAATTAATGCTTCTTAGCAATATACATTTTTAATTTCACCTCTATCAGCAGTTGCGACGCGTATTATTTTTGTACCTAGACTTAAAGAGACGGCAACATTTTAATCACCAAGAGGTTCTTTTTACCCCTGATGTTAAAATAATGGAAAAGGTGGACATAGTGTGCCTGAAAGTGTATCATACAAATAAAAACATGTACTTGAAGGTACTTATAATTAAGGGAAGGGGTGACTAGTCTGAACTATCAGACACAAATTCAAAATATGTAGTAAGGTTAAGGTATATATCTTTTTAAAATACGACGATTAAAACCTCAAATTCTCGAAAGAAGCAACTTTGAAGCTCCTAAACCTCGAAGCGAGATAAGGCTGCAGTCTTCAGCCGATATGCCCGATATAGCTGAGTACGATAGGTGAATTTTAAAGACCATGCGAAGCGACTTGCGTGCCTATGATACCTGAATTAAGGACGCCATCCAGCAAAACCAAGCTACAAAAGATTCCGCAAATAAATCGTCTATGGGGCAAAGTAGTATTAGTAGGTACCTTACATTGGCTTTGCCGTTTTACTTTTTAGTCATATATTCAAATTCGGAGATTCTCGAGGGAGCTCGAGAGGGTACCTAATGGACAGTTGCAGACTTCAACCTGGCAACCCCTTGTTAGTAAGGCTCGAGATTTAGGAGCCTAACAACAAGCCACCCTGTCTGCAAGTAGGTGGAAAACTGATACTTTTAGGCCTCCAAAAGTTATTAATTTCCGTCATACCTACTCGAAGGATTTACGCCGGAGATATGGCACGGGAGTGTGGTGGTATTTTCTCCAAGAAAGGTCGAACTCTTAACTTGATACTCGGCTCCTTACTAAAGAATTATAGGAGACCTGCCTCACTTTTGTACTATATAGGTATATACAAGCTGTTTACTTTCGAAGGTCAGTACGAACTTTCTTAACGCAGGATTGCAGGACAGCAGGCGTGTTTGGACTGGAAGTCATCTACTTCCAGTCCAAACACGCCGGATTTCAAAAAGGTTTCAACATCATAGACCACCGTACATCGGCAGATTGTACAAAAATGCAAGACTTTAACCCGTTCATTGTGTCTAGCGTTTGTAGACTATGAGAAAGACGAAGATCGAAGCCTGGCGGCGCTGCAGTCTCTTCAGCAGTGCCATATTGACTTTAGATACATCGACGCGTTGAAGTAGGTATTTGTATAAAAACTACCATTCGGATCTTTTTCTGAGAAGAGAGCACTAAACAAATCTAGCCGTAACATAGCGCAGTGCCTTAAAACCAGAATGTACAATCAGATGTTCAATACGATCAGTTTAAAAATCCAAAATTATTTTCATAATAATAGGTACTGGAAATTCAGTTCGAAACCTCTTGCTCAGCAGAGTGTGCACTTGCGCTTGCGTTTGCAACTCGATCAACAAGAGAGCAAATATATTATAAAAAGGATGATAAAGAAAGTTTTATTCTTATGCTCAGCTTGCAAAGAGAATGTAACCACTACGTTTAAGAGACGGGACTCCCATACAAGCCAGTGGAATCAATTTACACGGCACTCTAATACCTACATTGCAATAAATAAAAGATGTCAGCCGTCAAAATCAATAGTACCAACCTAAAAGAGCAAATAGTTCTGTGGTAGCTGTATACTAGGTTTAGTATCGATATCGATAATATTTATAGGGTAGAAATCGAGGTCATATTACTTTTTTAATTTTTAGTTTCGATCTTTAAGATAAAGTTCGGATTTGAAATAAAACATTGTGTTATATTAAAAACTAAAAAATATATTTTTGTAATAATATTCAAATTCATGTTATATACGGACGGTGTGTTAAGGACCTAACTAAAATTATTTAAATTAAGTGGACTCTAATACTTAATACATATATTGGTTCAGTAAATTGGTTCTATGGGCACATACACTAAATCTTCTTTGCCAACAACTTTCACCCACTGCCGGCACCTGAAAAATGGAAAAAATCAAAACGGACAGTCCCTGACATGAATAACTCTAAATTGTGTAAACAGCTGGCGTTCCTTATATAATAAATGAATAAATTTTACGAATACAGTATACATACATTTTTATCTACGTTTAATCATTAATTTCTTAAAATCTACTGGGTTTGTCGTGTCACAACTTTGTTCAACAACATCTAATAACATCATTACTTCTTTGGTGTGGTCTGGAAAGTAAATCACGAAAGAATAAATAAATCAAGGGATCTTTGGAGTTTAGCCCACACATAAGTCTGTGACTATCGATACTTGAGGTACATCACTAGTACACAATAAGTACATGAAAGTCAATTTACATGTATTTGTAGCCTTTTATACTTAGAATTAAATAAAATTATATCATTTAATGCTTACCGGTCCTCATCCAAAGGAAATTTCGCCATAAACATCCTTTTCTCGCCATTTTTACGACCGGATCGTCCTCCGCAGATTTCACAAGTTAGAAACCGTTTTTTTGGTGGCATTTTACTTGAACACGTAACTAGTCACAGCCGTATCACTAACCACTAATTAACTAAACAAATTATACGTAAATTTATGAAATTATGAAAATAACAACATAAACTTACAAAAGCAACGACATTCAAAGTTCAAAACTTCAAACAAAATGGCCGACGGATTAGTGAAAAAAAGAGAACTGTACTGAGGGAGTGGGATGGCAATATCCGGCTACTTCCGTGTGCCATTATTTGCCGTGCCAAGCCCATACATTTTTATTTTTCTTCTAAGTTGCGCTAGGCTGTCAGCTTGATGCATAAGTAGTTTGTAGAATTTCATTACTTTTTTAAAGCATAGAATTAAGTTTAGAAGGGTAAATTATCTGTGGGTAGAAAAAATAAAATGTCATTTTTCGACACGATAGACGAGAATCACAGTTATAAAAATTGCTACCAAAAAAGGGTAACAACGCAGCTTAAATATAAATTATAAGAATGAATCACATTATTACAATATCTTTTGCTAGCTTTATATTATATATACCTATGCCACATGTGATTTGATTTGTTTGTCTCATACAGTTTTATCGATAGCATATCGATAAGTGGGAGCCACTCTAATTATCTGACGTGGTGCTGTCGACAAGACGACAACAGGGAAAGGCGATAACCAAAAAATAAAATACATTTTCTGTAGTTGTTAGAAATATTTACAGAAATCAAAATGTTGGACAGCATATTTGATGATGTGAAGCGCATGAACAAACGGCAGGTAATGTTTCATTGAGAATTAGTAAGTAGTATATATATAATTTCACCGGCTGTTATTTTACAATATTTTCCATTATTTTTCAGTTTATCTACCAAGTTCTAAGTTTTGGTATGATAGTTTCTTCAGCCCTTATGATATGGAAGGGTCTTATGGTCGTTACTGGTAGCGAAAGCCCAATAGTTGTCGTGTTGTCAGGCAGTATGGAGCCTGCCTTCCACAGAGGGGACTTATTGTTTTTGACAAATTATCCCGAAGAGCCAGTGCGTGTTGGAGAGATTGTAGTATTCAAAGTGGAGGGACGCGACATTCCAATCGTTCACAGAGTTCTAAAGCTTCATGAAAAGTGAGTAAAGTGTAGACTTCCATTAAATTTATCATAGATGTCTCAATAGTTGTATGAGCACTTGTTTGTTTACGTCACCTCTTTACCAAGCAAGCAAGCAACATTGTTAAATTATTGCGTATTTTTGCAATGATTTAGAACAACTGACATAGCAGGGTAGTCAACATACAAACACAGACAAAAATAAAATGCAATACATTTACAATTGTATGGTAAGAATAATTTTAAATTGATTGTAACTAACCATAGAACTTGTTTATCTTCAGGAACAATGGTACAGTTAAGTTTTTAACTAAAGGTGACAACAACAGTGTAGATGATCGAGGCCTGTATGCTCAAGGACAGCTTTGGCTTACTAAAAAGGATGTAGTGGGGCGTGCCAGAGGTTTCTTGCCCAACGTCGGAATGGTCACAATTTATATGAATGAATATCCAAAGTTTAAGGTAATTGTATAATTTTGTTTCTTGTACAATAGTTTGGTCAGAGTATAAGCCGTTGAACAGCTACAGTTTTAAGTATAAAAGTTAAATTCTAATAAGGTTCTTATACCTAACACCATTTTTAAATGGAAATTATATTCTGTTGAATTTTGAAAGGGATCAAACCTACCTCTTTTTGAATAATGCTAATTGAATCTACTGCCATACAGAACTACCTATTGGAATTTAACGATAGCTGTTGGTTTTTGTTAAAATTGTAAAACAAATATTATTTTTTTAAAAGAGTAATTATGTAGTTTCTTGCTCATTCTTCTCCATTTGAATCTATAGTTTGGAACAAACATCTAGCTTTACAGATGAACAGACTGACAGACTACTACTCTATTTTGACATTTCAAAAGTACTAAGTTATTGTTTCGTTGAAATAAATGAATTTTATTTTTACTTACACCGTTTATCAAAGAAAGTTGTAGCTACACAACCATTTGGAGCCAAGCAGCTGTTGAGACTGCTAGAGAGTAGCTAGTATAAATAAAATAAATGAATAAATTTATTTTTATTATATACCATAACATATTATGTTACAAATAAAGTTGAATACAACATATTATTGAAAAATAGGGCCAACTATTGAAAATTTTCTTTGTATCTTTTTTGCTGAAGTTAGTGCTGGAAGCCATAAATGCAATTCCTAAGCTTCTATTTAATTACAGCATGACATGCTTATTAAGTGGGCTTCTCAACAGCAGCAGAAAACGATGTTAATGCTTAAGGTTTTTTAGACACTCTGTCACTCATCCTCACTAGAGTGATAGGGGAGAGTGTCAGGCTACTGACCAGAAAAGAGCCCAATCATATTTATGTTTGGAAATTATATAAATGTTATATTTTGCTTGTACTCGCAACACTGTTGACAAGTGTATGGAAACCTTATGCATAATATAATGTGTAACTAAATTAATTTAGACCTGTTAATGTAATCTGGTAGTTTC